TCTGTCCCCCTGTGCACCGGTTCTGAGAAAGCTGAAGCAATCCAGCTGGTCTGGGGATCTGCGAGTTCTGTGGGTCCAGTCCTGGTGGTCCAGGTCCTGAACCCGACCTGCTGACTTTGTGTCTATAGTTTATTTGAGAGAAGATTCTAGAGATTTCCTTCCAGGTCCTGCGGTAACCCAGAGCTTCCTGGCCTTGAGGCAGGGCTGGTTAGAGCTTCTTCCTGGTACAGCTGGTCTTGAGAGGCTCTGCCCACCTTAAAACCCTCACCTTGCCCTGCTGGTGTGGCTGAGTGGTTGAGTGTCGACCTATGAACCAGTAGGTCACGGTTTGATTTCCGGTCAGGGCACATGCCCGAGATGCAGGCTTGATCCCAGAAGGAGATGGGTAGGAGGCAAATGATCAATGTTTCTCTCTCATCAATGTTTCCATCTCTCTCTCCCTCTCCCTTCCTTTCTCTGAAATCAATAAAAGCATTAAAAAAAAAAAAAAAAAAAAAAAGCAAACACACCTCTCACCTAGTTTTAAGCAGTTTCCTCCTTCAGCGAACTTTTGTTCACCGGGGTGAGCAGGGATCTCGGTGGAGACGCAGCGTGACGAGGGTGTGCTTGTGCCAGCGGACTTTGTCTCCTTGGTCCCACGTCCTCTATCTGCGCAGGGCTCATTAGCTGTCCCAATGTGCCTGGGACGTATCATTATGGGGCGCTTGGTCTGGGGACTAGTTTATGGCCATTTTTATTAGTGGAGGCTGATGACGTCTTTGCCTCCTCGTGACGTACATATGTGTGCCTTCTTTTTACACAAACAACGCAGCAACAATACCAAATCCCATGGGAACCAGGTCAGAGAGAATGAGAACACCTTTGCAATCTGCACCAAGAAACCTGGCTGCGGAGCCCGGTGCCACGTGTCCTCCTGGGCAATCAGAGGCCACCGAGTCACCTTGGCAACGGAGACGAGGTGCTTTGCTGCGGTGGCCTGAGCCTTCGGGTCCCCAGTGGCATCTGGAAGCCCCTTGGTTTATGAGATTCCCCATCTTGGCCTCCAGAATCCCCAGGCGGGGCGCTCCTGGGCAGGCTATTGTCCTGGTTTCAGGCTGGGCAGTCCTGGGCAGGCTGGGCAGTCGGGGCAGGCTGGACCAGGCACCCAGTCTTGACCTGGCTGCTCTCAGACAAGCAAGTCTTGCAGAGAAAGGGGGGGAGGGGTTGGCCCCTCCGAGTGACCAAGATGCTGGCATGGAGGGGGAGGACAGGAGGGGGTAAGCAGGGGCAGGCACAGCCACTTCCAGGCAGACGGCTGAAACACATGGCTCTGATGACATTTAATGACCCGGCACGTCCCTGACACAGCTGCGGAAAAGGCAGGATGAAGTCATGTGCTGATAAAGGCCGGGAGGAGAACTCTGAACCATCGGCAGCATCGTCAGTGCTTTTTGTTCTCATCTTTATATATTTCTGTCTTTTCTACGGAACATTTTCTACCGACTTTTCTACTTGGGAAAACAGAGTGCTAATCCCAGTGTACAGGGAAATATTCAGCTGAGGGAGCAGCTCATCTTGTTCCACTTGAGGCTGCTGGGATCCATCTAGAAGCCGCTAGGACCTCTCCCCCCTGGGCCTCCCCCACTGGAGCAGAGACCCCCTTAGCGGCAAATTCAGGGTGTTGCCAGCAGGAGCCCTCCCCCCTGGGAGAGATGACACCGTTGGCCTCTGCCCTGCCTGCATGCTCCAAGAGCAGGCTCCCACCCACACAGGGCTGATCCGGAAGGGCGGGCAGCAGGGGCCAAGTGCACCTGGGTCCAGGGACTCTTTCTGGGAAGTCAGCTTCAGCCCTTTGGCTGCAGTTTTCATTCATCCGTGACAGAATGTTTCCAAACAGCCAGCCAGGTGTTTGCAAACACCTAAGACCTTTCAAAAGGAGTCGGGACAGGCCTGGGGCGGGCGGGCGGGTGGGAGGGGATAGAGGAGCAGAAAGGAAGTTGTGAAGTCACAAAAGGAGAGGCAGCAGGTGAGAGTATCCAGGTCCCTGGTTTCGGCGTCCTTCTTCCTGTTCTCCCTGGGACAGGCTGGCGGGCTCCCGAAGGGGACGAAAGCGCTGGTACACTCTTCAGCTGGAAGGAAGTAGAAATCTTCCTCCCAGTTCTCACTGGGTAAACCCGGGACTGGTAACACCAGGGCATTTTTGAAGGACGAGAAAGACGTGGTACTAGTCGTGCCCTTCAAAGGCCTTTTCAAACACGTTGACCCACAAACCTCCTCCCAGGGAGGGCGCGATTGGGAAATGTTTGGTCAGGCCGGCGGCTGGGCACCCGGCGAAGCACGTCCCGTCCCTTCGGTGCCCTGGCAGGCGGGCCCCGCCTCGGGCAGCTGCACACGCACGCCCGCCACAGCCTCCCCTCTGCCAGGCTCCCCGGCTCTGTATCCATTTCACTTCACCCTCGCCCCACCCCCTCCTGCAAAGCGGCATTCTTACTGAACGCCAAGGAAAAATCGTTCTGGGTTCCATGCAGCGTTGATATCCTAAACTTCTGCCTTCCTGATACTTAAACAACGCCTCCTAGCTTCCCTTAGGAAACATTTATTTTGCGATGAGCCACAAAGAACACAACGTGGGCAGCGATGTCCATGTACATCGTCCTCTGCTGCCACTTCCATCCTCTCCCTTCTAGTGGGATTAGGCCACCAGGCACCTCCGTCCTAAGGGGCACAGGTCCTGCCCCCCCGGCTCCCCTGCAGCTCTGGGGAAACAGGGAGGTGGCCCAGAGAGCAGACAACATGCCCTGGAACCCGCCAAGCGTCCAGTCTGCCAAGGGGTGAAGTCCTCACTCCTTGCTGACTGAACCCATTGGCCCTCCCCAGAGGGCAGGGTCCTCTCCCTGTCTGAGTACAGATCACGAAGCCGGTCTTCCGTGGACACTTGTCCGATGAACACACACACATCAATGGGCCACCATGTGCTGCGCTGAGGGCGTTGCTGACTCTGGTCCCAAGGACGTGGGAACCTGAAGACCTCGGTGAGCAGAGTCCACTTCCACGTGGCCCCCTGGAAACCAGCCCACTGGGCCTCTCTTCCTCTCTCCAACCTGCTGAGCTCCTTCACCCAAGTGGCTCCTTCAGAAAGGACCCTCCGCAATCAGCTGGCTTCTGACAGTGTATCTGATGGGGAAAGGGGGCAGGGCTCGCCTGGGGTGGGGACAGGACCCACTCCCGAGCGCTGGGGGCTGCAGCACCAGCCACTGCTTAGGGCACCAACCCTGGTGCTGGTGGTCGCTTGACAGAGATGCTGACCAGCTTTCTTGCACTTGTTTATAACTCCTGAACAATTAAGATTCGCACAAAACAAGAGAAATCCAAGTTGGGTGGCCCCACGGTTCTGGAATATATCGCTGCCATGCTCCAGAGGGTCCCTGGCGGTGGGCGGCCCCTCTCCAGGATCTGGGTGGGCTCCCTCAGTGGAAGCCGGCGTGCTGTCATCTGGCACTGCCTTTGGCCTCGTTCTTGGAGGTTTCCTTAGTCTCACCTGGTTACTTTCTCTAATAGAGGCTCCAAGGCCTAGCACCTCCGACGGAAATTGGGGGACACTGGGGACCTGAACTCCGATAACTGGGACTCTGGAGTAGGAGTCCCAAGAGGGCCCAGCTGTACTGCACTTTGTGGTTTTTGGAACCGCGCTAGTTCCAAACCTTTCGGGGTTGTGGGTGCGAGAAGAGGAGGCGTGCTGAAACCGGTTTGGCTCAGTGGATAGAGCCTTGGCTTGTGGACTGAAAGGTCCCAGGTTCGATTAAAGTCAAGGGCATGTACCTTGGTTGTGGGCACATCCCCAGTAGGGGTATGTGCAAGAGGCAGCTGATCGATGATTCTCTCTCATCGATGTTTCTAACTCTCTATCCCTCTCTCTTCTTCTCTGAAAAAAATCAATAAAATATATTTTTTTAAAAAGAGAGAGAGAAGAGGAGGCACTAGCAAATGCGGGGGCATAAGGGTTAAGCCGCTCGCAGCGCCCACAGAGCCCGGTAGGGGGCGCGCGCCGGCGGGAACGCGAGCGCGGGCGGACCTCCGCGGGCCTCAGGCGCCCGACGCCCCTGACGTCACCGCCCCGCGGTCGCCAGGGCGACGGCCTCATCAGCGCGCGCGTCAGAGCCGCCTGTCTCTTGGCAACGGCCCGATCTCCCGCTCTCCCTCCGCCTGGCGCGGAGCCACGCGTCGTTCCGGCGTCAAAGCGACGTCAATGGGGCTGCATCCATCCCGCGCGCGGAGGGGCGGGGCGGCCGGGGGCGGGCCGGGGGCGGGGCGGGCCGGGCGGCCGGGGGCGGGGCCGGGGCGGGGCGTGCGGCCGGGTGCGCGGCGCGGCCTCAGAGCTGACATGCGGCGCGGCCCGGCCGGAGGCACAGGCGGCAGCGGCGGCAGCGGCGGCAGCGGCGGCGATCCGAGCAGCAGGCGCCTGAGCCACGCGAGCGGCCGAGCGGTCGGCGGGGCCCGCGCGAGCGGCGTCGGAGCCTCGGGGCCCCGGGAGCGGCGGAGGTGAGGCGCCGGCCGGGCGGCGCCGTGGGGCGCGGGGCGGGCGGCCGGGCTCCGGGCTCTGTCTCCGGCGGCCCCGCGGGTGCGGGCCGGACGCCGCTGGTCCCGCGGCCGCCGTTCCCCCTTTGTTGTGGGGCGGCGGGCGCGGGTCCGCGGACCCCTCGGCGGGAGGGGCTCCGGGGTCCCGGCTGGAACGGCGGCGGGCGGCGGGGAACGCGGCCCGGGGCGCGAGGGGCTGGTTCGGTCCACGCGCCCCGCGGGGCTGAGGTGGCTCGGGGGCTGGAACGGCACTGCCCGGCGGGACGGGGGCGCTCCGGGGGCCGGGATGGAGCCGATCTCCGGCGGGTGGGAGCGGGTCCGCGCGCCCCTCGGGGCTCCGGGCTCCGGGCGCCGGAGGAGCGGAGCGCGGGCGGCGGGGCGGGCGGGCGGGCGCGGGGTCCGGCGGGCGGGCGCTGAGCTCCCTGCGCCCGCAGGTGCCCGGAGCCATGGTGATCATGTCGGAGTTCAGCGCGGCCCCAGCGGGCGGGAGCCAGGGTCCGCAGAAGCCCCTGCGGGTGGGCTTCTACGACATCGAGCGGACCCTGGGCAAGGGCAACTTCGCGGTGGTGAAGCTGGCGCGGCACCGAGTCACCAAGACCCAGGTGCGTGGGGCTCGGGACCGACCCGGGGCGGACCTTGCCTGGGGTGGGTGCACCCTGCCTGGGGCGGACCCTGCCTGGGGTGCACCCTCCCGGGGAGGGGGGACCCTGCCTGGGGCGGACCCTGCCTGGGGTGCACCCTCCCTGGGGTGGATGGACCCTCCCTGGGGTGGACCCTACCTGAGGTGGACCCTGCCTCGGGGCAGCCAGCCAAGTGGGACCCCCTGCCTTGTAGGGTCCATCGTGCAAGGTCTAGACGCCAACAGTTTTTAGTTTGGTAAAGAAGGAACATGTTTGATATTATGATTGCATAATTGGTATGAATGTTAGGGGGCAGCAAAGAGGATAAGGATCTAATAACCAGGAGTGCAATGCTCTCCGATCCAGAGCTAACTAACGCCCTTCCAAATGAGCCCTCAAAGACTTAGTACAATTATTCAACTTCGGCTATTTTGTCATATTAAGGGTTACTTTGGTTATTCCCCTCCCCCGCCTCCTCCCCCCACACCCCAACTTTTTGTGACCTCTTGGGGACAAAGTGTTTTAGAAGTTCAGCTGCAAAAATGAAATGTTTAAATTTGGTTAAGTGAGAGATTGTGTGTTTTTTTAATTAAAAAAAATACCCTTTTTTCTTTTTTAAAAATCTATAGGTAGCAATAAAAATAATCGATAAAACACGCCTAGACTCAAGCAATTTGGAGAAAATATACCGTGAGGTTCAGATCATGAAGCTTCTGAATCATCCCCATATCATAAAGCTTTATCAGGTAAGGATCCCATTTGCCTTTCTCTGTGCCTTCCAGCAAGCGCGTTCATTTTTGTGTCCAACAACCTAAGTCTGGAGACTGCCCTCCTCTCTCTGAGTGTATGTGGGGGTCGGGTTGGTGGTATAAGATAAATAGGTTGATTTCTGTAAGTGCTGAAGATTTACTTGCAGTTATCTTCTTGCTTTGGGGTCATAATTGAGATTTGCTTCGGGAGGATCTTATTTATTGGGTTTGTCCCAGCTTTAAGCGCATGGAGGTGCGGTACTATTGCCTTTACTACAAGGCTAACACAACCGGGTCTATGTATTGACACAAGTCAAGGATTTAGTGTAGAAGGACAAATTCCAGAGAAACTAGACACTCCTGCCTGTGCAGATAATTATTAAACTTTTACCAGTTTCCGTAAACTCACCTTTGCAAAGGCAGTGCTGAGCTCCTGTCTTCCCCATGTATACTCCCATCTAAACGGAGAGAGCGAGAGCTTGCTAGTTAGTCCACCCTAAGAACAGGCTTGACTCTGTCCATTGGTTGGTTTGTTTTGTGACTTTATTTTTGTTCTCCTGTCGAGACAAATAAAGTATATCTCTGGAAAACAAGTGCTAGTCTAATTAGGACAGCAAAGCAGTCTCATACTTGCGGCCACTTCTGTGACAATGAAGTGGTCTCGTGCTAGAGAATAAGTTCTTTGCAAATGCTCGCTATTTTGTCCAGTTGTGTTGGCTATCAGTTCCTTTTCATGACTCCCACAAAACCCCAGGAGACTGGAACGAATACGGGATGGTGGGAGTGTTTGAGTACAGTGGGCAGGAGACGGGACTGTAATTGGAAGTTACCCCTTGGAAGGCTCTTGGCTCGGTTAAAATGAAGGTGGACGCTGTCAGCGGGGTTGTGTTTCAGATGACAGTTTACTCACCGTCGCTAAGTGCGGCACTCACATCACCTGTCACCTGCTCTCTGCTGTGTCACCTGCTCCCCGGCTTGTGTTTTGTTTCTGTTGTCATTTGTAAGTTGCCGCCTGGGTGAGCCGTTTCCTCCTGGGTCACTGATGTCAGCGCCTGAGAAATGTGCCCAGCCTGTTTCCGTGAGTGGGCTGACCCCGGTCTGCTCCTGACCGAGTGGAGGGATGAGCCAGAGTGTGGCTTCCTTGTCCTCCTGCCCCGATGGCCCCCAGTGAGCGATGCCTTGGCCACCCGATTCAAGCGAGGACTTTCCTGGCGTGGACTTTCTTACTGCTCTGTGGCTGCTCTGACTGTGGGGACAGCCGTGATGGTTCTTACTCTGGCTTTGACATGGTGTCTGATTTTCATCCAGCTGGCGCAGGCCCAGAGCCTTGGGGAGACACTAAACTCTTTCCTTGAGGGTTTTTGTTGTTGTTGTTGTTTTTAAACTTAAAACACATCCACTCTTCATCCTTTCTCCGTCTTTCTGCCCCCCCCGCCCCCCCCCCCACACAACTGAGAAAAGGAATGAACTTGTTATACACATCCAGGGCAAGGGCTATAAAAATTCTAGCTAAACCGTCTGGTGTTTGCTTTGCTTTTCGGATTTACAGCACAAAGCAGTGGTGTTTAAAGTATTCTTTCTTTCTTTCTTTCTTTCTTTCTTTCTTTCTTTCTTTCTTTCTTTCTTCTTTCTTTTTTTTTTTTTAAAGGAATAGCTATGTTTTGAGCCCTGAAGAAATCTTTTTCTGTAATAATGTATTATCTCTCTATCTCCCTTTTAAAATGCCTGGATAGGAGTTCATTTTACTTTCAGGATAAATATCTGAATTTTATCTTGTTGCTTAATTATGTTTTAAATTCTTTTAAGACAGTTTTTCAAAGTGAAAGAGAATTCTCGCTCAGGAAGGGGCCCTGTAAGGTGTGCCCGCCACTGGCTGTTGCTGCTGACACATGCTGAGCAGTTGTCTGTACACAGAGCAGACTGTGGTGGCGTACCTGGCAGACCGGCTTTTTGTAGCCTACTTAATCATGTTACCAGCGCATTGGGGAAGGGGTATTTGCCATCTATTATTCAGCCATGCTGGCTGTTGGTGTGAATAACCTGCTGCCTGCTAGGTTTCTGGAAGAAAGCTCTAGCAGGACTCTGGAATCGCTTCTTTCACTTCTGTAGCCGCCAGAATCCTCTGGTGGGTGAGACAAAGTGAGTTAAAATTACGGTGCAGGAGAATTCGAATATACTTAGACCTTTTCTGAGCCAAGATATATCCGGACAGGCAGGCCCATGAGGAATTCACCTCTGACTTTGAAAAAACTCTCCTGAATAGGAATCCCTTGTTTGTTTCTTTATTGCAGAAGTTTTTTGTTTGTTTGTTTGTTTGTATGTTTTCTTTCCAAAAATAATGAATACACTCATCTGGAGAAGTGAATTCCCTGGGGTTCAGGTGGATTACTGATAGCTTCGGTATGTTCTCTTTTCGTGTGGTTTAATGTTTAGGTCTTTATTTTTTAGGTAATGGAAACAAAGGATATGCTTTACATTGTCACCGAATTTGCAAAGAATGGAGAGATGTTTGGTAAGCCACTTACTTTTAATACCTGTTGAAAAAAAAAAAAATAGTGCTCTCTTGTCAGAAATTGCTCCTCCAAGGTTGGGGGCCGTCCACCTTAACATTCCTCAGCATTCGCTGTGGGTTTGGGAGCTATAATTTTGTTCTGTCGCTCCTCAGATTATTTGACTTCCAATGGGCACCTGAGCGAGGATGAAGCACGGAAGAAGTTCTGGCAGATTCTGTCGGCCGTGGAGTACTGCCACAGCCACCACATCGTGCACCGGGACCTCAAGACCGAGAATCTGCTGCTGGACGGCAACATGGACATCAAGCTGGCAGGTGAGGAGGGCGCCCCCCTCGCCCCACACCCAGGAAGCGCTGCCTCACGGGGGGGGGGGGGGGGGGGGGCATGTGCAAGCCAGGGTCCTGGTGCTCTTTGCTCGTAAACTTTTGAAACTGAGGCCCCTACTGTTTCCACCACAAGTTCATCTGTTTCTTTGTCTTTCAGACTTTGGATTTGGAAACTTCTACAAGTCAGGAGAGCCTCTGTCTACCTGGTGTGGGAGCCCCCCCTACGCGGCGCCAGAAGTCTTTGAGGGGAAGGAGTACGAAGGCCCCCAGCTCGACATCTGGGTAGGAGCCCTGGGCGCTGCGCTAGGGGCCGGCACTGGGAGGTGTGCCCGGTAAGGCGGCAGGCCTGACCCGCTGTCTGGTTGTCTGCAGAGCCTTGGCGTGGTGCTGTACGTGCTCGTCTGCGGGTCGCTCCCTTTCGATGGGCCCAGCCTGCCGGCCCTGCGGCAGCGGGTGCTCGAGGGCCGCTTCCGGATCCCCTTCTTCATGTCTCAAGGTAGGTGTGCGCCGAGCCTTCTCCCGGGCAGGCGGGCAGGGGCTGATGGGAACCTGGAATGGGAGCTTAGGAGGAGGAGGAGGAGGTGGAGGAATTTACTTCCTGAAATGCCTGCTTGACTGTCTTCTGGGTCTGAGTCAGGCCGGTGTTCCTGTCGGGTGTTTACCTGCAAAAGAAACCCAACCCATGGGGTGTGTTTTGAGTGCCCTACTTATGGGCGGACAGGTGCCTTCCTCTGAGGGTGCCTCCTGGAGCTGGCTGAAGGCTTGGTCTCTGGAGTCCCCGCCAAGTGCCCCCCGAGTCTCACCTGCTCACACTTGTGCTTTCCTCGTCCGTTCAGTAAAGATGTCCACTGACCTGTGTGGTCACAGCAGAATGGGGAGGCTAAGTGGTCTCTGTAGGCACATTAGGAGGACTGTGTCCCATTCAGAGACCCACCTCTCAATGGGGGGCATTCTTTGGTGGCTGGTCTGAGCCACTGGCCCAGGTCAGTGCTCCTGGCACTGGTAGTCTTTGGAATGGTCCCTTGTCTGATTGCTTCCATGAAAGGAGCTCGTCCCCTGCAGGGCTGAGCTGGCATCCCGGTGGGCGGTGGGGACTGTGTGCAGAGGCGGTCTGCCCGGCTCAGTGCGCCTCCCTTCACCCCAGACTGTGAGACGCTGATCCGCCGCATGCTGGTGGTGGACCCTGCCAAGCGCATCAGCATCGCCCAGATCCGGCAGCACCGGTGGATGCAGGCCGACCCCACGCTGCCACACACCCGCCCCTCCAGCACGCTCAGCTACAACTCCAACCTGGGCGACTACGACGAGCAGGTGCTGGGCATCATGCAGACCCTCGGGGTGGACCGGCAGAGGACCGTGGAGGTGAGCGCTGCCGTCCCTCCCCCTGCCTTGCCTGCTCTTGGGGTGGGGGTGAGCCGCTTTATCGGGAAAAGCAGTCAGTTGCTAGTTGAGTTAAAATGGGAACACGGGCTAATTTAAGGGCCGGCTTGTCCACTCTTCTGAAGGATATTCTGGGCCACCCAAGAATAACCCTGAGAACAGCCTTGTCAGGGAGCCTCAGTGACCCGAGGAGAAGTCCCGAATGCCACCTGCACGCGGCCACCCTGCTGTTCCAGTCCTCTCTCTGGCCTGGCTCTAACCTGCTTCTCTGCCTCTCTGCCTCCCCCAGTCACTGCAGAACAGCAGCTACAATCACTTCGCAGCCATTTATTACCTCCTCCTGGAGCGGCTGAAGGAGTACCGCAGTACCCCGCCGGCAGCCCGGCCGGGCCCGGCCCGGCAGCAGAGGCCCAGGAGCTTGGATCACAGCACTTTGGAGGTGAGGGGGGAACCTCCGAAAGCCCCTCCCTCTGTCCCCTGAGTTAGAAATCCCTGCTCAGCTGAGCCCCTGTCCCCCTATTCATTTTGTCCCCCCATCCGTTAAGCCCTGGGTTGGGGCAGAGGTTCCCCTGTGAACTCCAGACCAGAGGATGCATGGAGAAGAGGGGGTGCTAGTCATTCTGATGGGGATCAGGCCCCGCCTATGGCCAGTTGCCCCTTGTGCTGGCCTCTTGGTGAGGCCACTTCCGTATGCGCAGCCTCGGAGGGAGGGTGCACGTGTCCTGAGCCTGGTCAGTTGGTGGCTCACCTGCTTGTGCCAGAGTGAGGCCAGCATGGTCTTTCTTGGGATGATCGTGGTTACCCCAGAGCCACTGACAGCTTCTATCCTTCTGTGCTGGCTCCCAGGTGCCTCAGGAAGTCCTCCCTGGTGAAGCGTTCCGGTCCTCGCTCCTGTGCCCACAGCCCCAGACCTTGGGGCAGTCTATCCTGCAGGCCGAAATGGACTGTGACCTGCACAGCTCGCTCCAGGTGTGTGAGTGCGAAGGGCGGCGTCGGGCGGGGGCTTGTCTCGTTCCCGGCGGTGGCGATGACCCTATGCCAGGTCACCCAGAGCCCAGGGTCACCGGTTTATTTCCTTCCCGCACAGCCCTTGCTCTTCCCCGTGGACACCAACTGCAACGGCGTGTTCCGGCACCGCTCGGTCTCCCCCAGCAGCCTGCTGGACACGACCATCAGTGAGGAGGTCAGGCAGGGCCAGGGCCTGGAGGAGGAGCCGGAGGCACAGAGACCCCTGCCCGGCAGCACGGTCCGGAGGCACACGCTGGCCGAGGTCTCCAACTTCTCCCCAAGCGTCCCTCCATGTGAGTGTCCGCGTGACAGAGCTCAGCCTGGTGGGTGGGTCTACGGTTGGGAGCTCATGCAAAGCACACCTTTTGTGCTGGGTGGCTTCTTCTGAATGGGGTTCTCGGATTTAACCCCCGAGGCCACAAGGGTCCCTCGTAGACACTCCAGGAGGTCATTCCGTGGTGGGGACAGTGGGCGTTAGCTGCCCCCAGGTGCCAGGAGGACAGGTCCTCACTCCTGCCCCTTCTGTGTCCTCGGTCAGCTCCACATATCACCTGCAGCCAGGACTCCGCACTGGCTGGCCGTCAGGGCTCCCTGGCCTCGGCTGTCACAGTCTCCCACTCCCCCCAAGGTTGAGGATCGATGTGGGGAGGACAGTATAGCTGTCTGTCTCTGTCGGTGGGCCTCAAGGGCTACCCAGGGGCCTGAGAGTCACTGCTGTGGGCATGGGGAATGTGACGTGGGTGCTGGGGGGTTGCATTAGCCATGGGGAGCCTGTGCCTCCTCACCAAGAGCACCCTGCTCCTTCCACAGGCATAGTCATCTCCTCGTCGGCGAGCCCTTCAGAAGGCACCAACTCCGACAGCTGTCTGACCTTCTCGACAGGGGAGAGTCCGGCGGGGCTGAGTGGATGCCTGGCTGCTCAGGGGCTGGTGGGCACCTGCTCCCCACTCAAACTGGCCTCACCACTGCTGGGGGCCCAGTCTGCCACCCCGGTGCTGCAGGCGCAGGGGGCTCTGGGCGGAGCTGCCCTGCTCCCCGTCAGCTTCCAGGAAGGCCGGAGGGCTTCAGACACCTCACTCACTCAAGGTGACTTCCCCTTTCACTCTCTTCCCACCTTCTCCTCCAGATGCCGGGTGGCCCTGGCAGGTGTCCCTTTGTCCTGGAAGGCAGAGGTTCCCCCATTCCCTAGCCAGGCCTGTGTGGAGCAGCAGTGCTCCCTGGGCAAATGGAAGGTGCCACTGGGCTCTGGACAGTCTGGTGTCCCGGGACAAAGTCACCTGGCCTCTAGTTGCTGGTCTTAGAAGCTCAAGAGACACTTGGGTGCCAAGCAGCAGCTCCTGCCCCAGAGAGGGGTGGAGTCAGGGAGGGACCCTCCACACCTGGCTGCCTGGGTTCCCACCATGTCACCCAGGGCTTGGGGGCCCTGAGCTCCCTCCCTAGTTCCGTGGCACTGTTCGTGCCCTTCCACAGAGGATCTCAGTCTGCCCAGGGGCATGCCTACTCAGTACTGGACTGCTGCCCCAACCAAAGCTTAAAAAGATGACTTCCTAACCTGCATGGGGGACAGGGAGCGGGGTGAGGGGGATCATGGAAAGTATTTAGATGACCAGAGAGCACCCTCCGCCCTGTAGGAAAGCATACCCGTCCTTTTTCCCATCATTTCCATGTTGCCCGTTCCTCCTCCCTCCTCCCCTCCATCAGGGAACCCAGCCTTGGTTCCCTGGAGGGTCATTGACCATCTTCCTCTGCCTCTCCCCAGGCCTGAAAGCCTTTCGGCAGCAGCTGCGGAAGAACGCGAGGACCAAAGGGTTTTTGGGCCTGAACAAGATCAAGGGGCTGGCTCGCCAGGTGTGCCAGCCTTCTTCCAGCCGGGCCACTCGGGGAGGCCTGAGCGCCTTCCAGCTGCCCGCTCAGAGCCCGGGCCTGCATGGCAGCGGGGCCAGCAGCCGGGAGGGCAGGAGCCTGCTGGAGGAGGTGCTGCACCAGCAAAGGTATGCCTGCTCCGCGCTAGTTGCCCCTGACTCACGTCCATTGGGATTTCTTGAGCCACCTTGTTTCTTAGCTCCCCCTTCTCCATGTAATCAGATGAGCGTACCTTCCCTCCCCCACGTGTGGGGAGATCCGTGGGCCTTGTTCCCGCAAATGGTGGCAGAGGTGGGGAGCAGTCAGGTTTTGTCACTTTGAAGCCTGTAAGTGGGGGGTGGAGCAGGGCATGAATAAGAATGTCACCTCTGGTTGGCATCTCTGAGCTGCTGTAAAAGCACGGCAGAATGGAAATGTCAGGAATTGCTCAGGGGATTAGTCACGCACAGCATTTCGTGTTCTGGCTCCAGCCAGCACTTCCACGGGCGTGGAAACCCGGTGGTGCCTGAGCCTGGCCGGGTGGAATTTGTCAGGAGGAGCAGCGCTCAGAGCTGACAGTGACCTGTTCCCCTTCCTGGTCTCCTGTCCCTCCAGGTTGCTGCAGTTACAGCACCACCCAGCAGCCCCACCGAGTTGCCAGCAGGCTCCCCAGCTGCCCCCAGTCCCGCTGGTCCTGGCCCCCTGTGACAGTGCCCTCCTTGTGTCGGGACTCCAGAAGGAGCTGGGGCTGGGGCCTGGCCTGCTGCTGCCACCGCACCTCCTCCAGGCCGGGGTCTCTCCGGTATCCTCGGCGGCCCACCTCTTGGACACCCATCTGCACATCAGCACTGCCACGGCACCCCTCCCTGCCGCCGCCGCACCCCTGCAGCCACACTTCACCATGCTGCCCCCGGGCTTCGACCCCATGGGGCTGCCGCAGGGGGACTGTGAGATGGAGGACCTGACCTCAGGCCAGCTGGGCACATTTGTCCTGGTGCAGTGAGGGCCACCACGCCACCCTCCTCCCGCATGGGCTGCCGACTCCTCGAAGCAATAATCTCAGAGTATGTGAAGGCGATTCCGGACTCAAAGCCAATAACTTCCGAGAAGCAAAACAAGCAATACGTTTGGTGTTTTGGCTTTTTTTATTTTTGTTTTATTTTCTCCTTGCACTGAACAGCTGCTGCTGTGAGTAGGGACTGGAAAGTTTCTGAAGAAAAATAATAATTGAGGGTGTGTTGTGGGGGTGGGTGGACAGGAGGGAGAAAGAGGGAAGCAACAAAACAGGACAGGGCTGGCCCCGCTCACAGGCCAGCGCCACTGTGGTTCAGGTGGCAGCAGCAGGGGACCATCAGCTCCCTCGTCCACAGGCGCGTCGGGTCATGGAGGGCATTGCCTTGGACAAAGCTACTGTGTGAGCCATACGCCGTGGGAGCAAGTGTGTGCGCATCCACCATGTGTGTGCACGTGCGGGGTTGAGCAGCATCTGTTTTTAATGGACAGTCCTCCACTTCCTGAAACATTTATGCTTCGGATGAAAGCTGTGAACTTTGTGCTTTATACATGTTTTTAAAAAGCTCTAATGGCCAGCCCAGGAGAAGATAATCTGCAAATTCTTGGAATTCTCTCCCCTGAAGTCATAACACAGAGGATCACGTTTTCCTGGTTTGGACGGGGGTTTACGAACTGCCTGGTGGTCGGTTCCAGGAGTCCTCGGAGGAGCCACGAGAAGGAACCTCAAAGGGGCGGGGAGGCTCTGTCCCGGCACGTGGCACAGGGCTGGTGCCTGCGAGGGACGTTACCTCCTGCCGCACACCTTATTTCCGCTGCTAATTACGTTTTTACGCATTTCATTATCAGGGTCCAAAAAGAACAACCGACTGGGGGATGTGCAATATAGCGAAGCTGGGACTGGGAGAGGAGCGGTGACTGCCTGCACTCATGGCCCACCTTCCCCAGGCCCGGACCTGTTAGGCTTTTGTTCAAGAAAATGAACTGAGAGGTCAGGTCATTGTTGTTCAAGCTTTGTTCCTTTTTAAGCAGATACTGTATATGTGTATAAATAGACAGACACTACTTATTTTTTATATTTTTTACTACACCTTTGTGTTCCTGGTTTCAGTTCCCCTCTGGCAATGTTACAAAGTGCTACCCAGATCTGTGTGGAGGAGGGAGGCATGTTGCCCTTACCTGGCAGGTAGACCAGGTGGTGGCTCAGGTGGCGAGGGCTCCCTCTGCCACGGGCTCCCTTTGCCTGGTCAGCACTGGTCCTTCCCCCCCAGGTGCCTTCAGCTCCCTGGCTCTCACCCTCAGTATTAACAGGTAATGACGGCAGGGGAAGGTCGGCATTTATAAAGCCAAAGATCACCGGAGTTTCTGGAGGGGAGGGGAGGTGGTGGCCCAGAGAGGACCCGGCCCCTGCTGGCCCTGGGTCTGCCCAGCTTGCTGCTACCGTCCCTCCTGCCACCACTGCTGCTGCTCTGTGGCTGCTTCAATGATTGGGGCAAAGGGCTGTCCTTGCGCCTGGCCACGGAGAACGTCCCGTGGCCTCTGCTGGCTGGTAAGGGAGGTTGGGGACTGAGAGGGCCTGGGGTCGTGGGCCTTGGCCTCCTCACAGACAGCAGCGCGTGGAGTCCAGCACAGAACCAGTTTCCCTTTTGAAGATCAGTTCTGTTCTAACCCAGAGATCAAAGGCCTCAGAACAATGACAAGCACTTTACTGTCACCGTGGTTTTCTTTCTCATTGCTGTCAGTCCAGGTGTGTGTCTTGTTTCAGTGTGTGTGACGTGTGTTTTATAGGTTTCTTCACAGTGCTGTTTCCGAATGAATGCAGTAGCCTGTTCAAAGGCACTATGTGATCTGATTAAGATGTATATGGTTTGGTGTTTTTTTTTCTTGGGTTTTTTTTTTTTTTTTTTTTTTTTACTATAACTGAATTATTTTGTTTCTTATGTTAACATGACAAATGTATGCCAAATGATTAGTGGATGTATGTTTTTTAATTTAATATTTAAATAAAATATTGGGGGGAAAACCTTGACTTTTTCCCGTGGCTCTCTGTGGGCTTACCTTCCGGCTGCTTCCCTGAGGCCAAGTCCTCCAGGCTCATTGACGGCTCAGATCGTAAAGAAGAGGGCCCAGTGCCAACTCCTGCACTCAGCCTGGCCGCAGAGAACTGGCAGCACCTAGCTGCAGACACCACTCCCCTCGTCTGGCAGTGGTGTGGTCAGGGTACAGAGAGGAGCGGCCTGAGGTTGGCATTGAGGGTCTATGCCAGGCCTCGCAGGTTCTCAGGCTCCTTCTCAGGGGGCAGGCTCTTAATCTGCTGAACCTCCAAACACCCACATCTGTTCGCAGCTGGTTCTTCCTAGGCACCATTCTCTCTACTTCCTCTTCATGGTCTCTGAAGCTTCTTGTAAGTCAGGGATTTGGAAGCCTAACAGCCAGACTTCCTGGTCTGTTCAAGCTGGCTTTGCCACCTTCTAGCACCTGGAAAATATTTTCTGGTTAAAGTTTGCAACTTTTTCTCACCCATAAGGATGGTCATTATAAAAACAAAACAAAAAAACACACATAAGCATTGGTGAGAGAATAATTGGAACTTCTGTGTGCTGCTGGTTGGAGATAGTCTGGCTGTCCCATAGCAAGTGAACAGAATCACCTTATGGCCCAGCAATCCCACTGCTGGGCACAGACACACGGGAACTGAAAGCAGGGGTGCGAATAGGTCCTGCACACCTTTGTTGATGGCAGCATTGGTCACAACAGCCAAGGGGTGGACTCGCCCCGAGGATGACTCCATCCGAGGATGACTAGATTAGCAAATGTGGTCCATGCACACAATGGGGTGGTATTCAGCCTTCAAAAGGAGATTCTGACATACTGCATGGAAAGACCTTGAGGGCATCGTGCTCAGGACACAAGTCAGGCACAAAAGGACAAATGCTGTGTGGCTCCGTTTGCCTGAGGCCCTAGAGCAGAAAGGAGAGTGGCAGAGTTTCTTTTTGGGAGGATGGAAAGTTCTGGAGATGGATGGTGGTCATGGTTGCACAACAGTGTGCGTGTACCTCATGTCATGGGCCTGTGCACTTAAAAACGGTTGAGATGGTCAATTTTGTATCGTGTGTTTTACTACAATGAAAAGAAGGTCCTTTGGGGGCAGAGGCTCAGGGATGCACAGCAGCTTCCTCCTGAGAGCCGGGCTCGGGTGAGGACTGAGTGAGTGAGAGCATGGAGAGGCACCTGTAGGGGGCAGATGCGCAGGGAATCTGTGAGAACTCGGAACATGTTCCCAAGCCTGTATGTGTGGCATGACAGGCCTGAGTGTTGCCTAAATGCAGCCAATGGGTCTGAGAGGCCGGTGGGATCTCACAGTTTTGGGGAGGAGGCCCAACCAATGAGGAGGGTTGTTGTCAGTCAGGGCTATTTGATTGACAACGGTTACAATGTCACATATCTGAGCTGTGGCCCGCAGTACCTTGAGTAAGGTGACCAGACGTCCCGCTTTTAGCAGGACAGTCCTGGTCTTTAACAATTTGTCGGGATGCGGGACAAATTGTTAAAAATCAGGACATCTGGTCACCTTAACCTTGAGGGACTGTGGGGTGGGCTTCTAACAGGAAGTCCAAGTAGACCATGCACACCCAGGAACGCTCACTGACCCCTGGCAGACGCCAGTACTAGGCCTCGCTCCTGGGTGGCCCACACCACCCTCGGCCTCTTGGTGATCTCGCCTCTTGGTGACCACGGCCTGGGGAGTGGGGCCCAGGCTCTGCTTTCTGGGAAGAATAAAGGGAAATCTACTTACCGGTTGCGATGCAGAGTCTTGTAAACAAAGAACTTGATGTGTAACTTGACTCCGGAAGTAGATGGCCCGCTCCTGTGGGGCCCATCGGGTCACATCCCCCACCCTGCACCGAGCTCTGTTGGGCACATAGCTGGGGGCTGAGGGACTCCGTGTTCACCTGCTGGGTTCTTCTGGGGCTCACAGTGTGTCATGATGGGTGTTATCATCATTACTAATAAATACCACCGCTTAGAATTAATTCTCAGGTGGAAATTTATACCCTGCTCAGGGAGCCTTGCAGGGACCCTGTGGGACATGGGCATGCCAGCCCAGGCTTATTAGTCCTCTCCCTCAGATGAAGAGGGGCCAACGTGACTGTAGGATTCAGTGTGGCCATGGGACTCGGCGGGCCGGCCGTGTGTTAAGCGATCCCCTCTCTGGGCCCCACCACCTGTGTCTCGCTCTGCCAACATCTCTGCTGTGGACGGCCACACCTGCCGGCATTTCACAAGCTGTTGACGCTGTGGATGTGTCTGTTCCTGTCGGGGCGTTGGCAAGGCTGAGCATGCGCTGGCACCTCCCTCTGCACATGAGCACACGTGGCGGGCACTTGGGGATTCTGAGCTTTTCTTCCTCTTGATGCCTCTGTTGAGGGCGGGGGGGGGGGGGGGGGGGGAGGGGGGAGTGGCCTGGGTTACTGACCGCTGCAGAACAAGTGGCTGCCTGAGTCCTGGCTGGTGCAGGTGGAGCCTGGTGCAGCCTGGTGCAGGTGGACACACAGGGGAGCACGTGTTGGCACTTTCGCTTCGGGGTCATGGGTCATGTGTGCTGGTGTGCACCTGCCTTCAGGAGGAAGGCCTTCTGGACGTCCAGAGATGTGGTAGTTCTAGTCTGAGACCCGCTTCTGGGGGCGGGGGGGGGGGCGGGGGAGGGAGGAGGGGGAATGGGCGGGGAGAGGGGCCGGAGGGGAGTTCCAGGCGAAGATGAGGCTCACCTCACCCAAAGGCAGGAACCGAATCTGAGTGAAGAGGAACTGGCTTGTTTGGGGTGAAAGCAAAAGTGTTGGCCTATCGGGTTTCCTTCTAGAATGATACTGGGCGTGTCTGTGGTCTGGGCAGGGTGCACACGCTGTCCCGTGGCATTAGCCTCCCGTCTTGGCGGAGGGTCTCAGAGAGTGGATCCAGAGCGGAGCGTTCTTGAGGGGCCCCCTGAGGTTT